GTATTCTATGCTAATTTAAATAATAAAAGAAAGATTGCTAAAGCAAAAAAAATGAAATTATTGCTCTAAGTAATTGTTAATTAATAGATACTTTATCTCTAATAAACAAGACCAAATTAAATAAGATTAAAATAGACAAATCTGAAGTAGCCAAATTTGAGATAAAAGTAAGCAAATCCAAAGTAGCCAAATTTAAAGTAAATAAATTTAATATGAATTCAACTTCTATTTATCAATCTGAATTGATAATTTTTTTTTGTTTTGATCTTTTAATATTAGTAAATTTTAAAATATTTTTAATATTATTGTATTTGTTTTGATAAACATCTTTATAAATTTTTAATAAATGTTTAGCTATTTTTGAAAGCTCTCTAGAGCAGTTTTTTTACAAAAGTTGCATAATGCAAACTATTGATATTTTCATCTTCTCTGAACTATTGCCAGATTAGGTTTTTTTTCTAGTTTTATGTTGTAATGATATTTAATAGCAATAATTCAAAAACTTTTTAACAAAATAAATATCAAATATGACAAATTATATTAGTATTTTTAATAAATTAAACTTTTAATTTATTGAATTTGTTACATAATTTTATTTAGTATTTTTAATAAATTAAACTTTTAATTTATTGAATTTTATGTAATTTATTTATTATATTATTAATGCCAATTGAATTATTAACAATTAATAATATTAATAATAGGTTATTAATTTTTTATTATTAACTAAAAACTCAGAAGTCATATCACTAAATATATTGGTAAATATCAGTTATTTCAAAAGGTTTACAATGTTAATCTATTTTATTTATACATATCGCTCTCAATATAACAGACTCTTGATATAACAGAGACTAAGTAAAATCTTAATATAGTAGATCAAAGATTCAGATCCATATCATAATAAATACTACTTGATATAAAACTCACAATAAAGTGGATTTTAAAAAATTCCTTACTATACACCCAAGATATACATTATATCGAGAGTAGCATGTATAACATTTATTTTTCTAGACAGAGACACGTACTGCCAGTAAATAGATTAGTAACATAAAGCAATAAAAGCATAAGCTTGCGAACTTTAGAGGTTAAAATATAATATTACGTCTAAAATTATTAATTCAGAATTATGGCTAAATTCGTTAATTGTTATTATGTTGTTTTTCGCGCTGTTTATAAATTTTTTTTATTTATATAACTGATAATAGTATTTTTATTAAGATCTTAGATTTTGTTTGTATTGGATGATGGTTTTAGATTTTGAGTTGTTAGATTTCATAGTAATGTATTTATTAATGCAAATTTGATGTATATGATATTAATTAGTAAATATTTAATCATATATCAGATATTAATCGATTAACCAATGATATTTTTGCAACTTCACAGAATGATCTACAAAAATCAATCAATTACAACAAAAGCCCGCTATGCTCCTGTGACTGATATCATGCTTCTATACTTCCGATATATTTTAATTATTAAATCATTAAAAATTATTTTGAATTTTGAATTTTAAAGTCCATCACTAACTGTATTATAATTATTGCATATACATATATATGAGTGTCGCTAAAAGAAAACCCGACAATTTAATATGTCATATTTAAATTTTCGGGTTTTCTTTTAGCGACACTCATATATCAAAAACTTTAAATCCTGAGTTGTTATTATCTACAAAAAACTTAAATAATATGAGTTTACTAATTTTCCCCTACACTTCTAATTGGTTCTACTAACTATTCACATATCGAGTGTCTACAGTCAACCCCGTCTACAGTCAACCCCCTCTATAGTCACCTTCTCTATAGTCACAAAATTAATATAATTACAAATTTATTTTTACCAATTGGGTAATTGTTTTTGAACCCAGACCAAAATGTTATTACGCCATATAAATAAATTGGTCTGGGTTCAAAAATAATTTTCCAATTATTAATAACTATATAGAAATTACCTCTATATTAGTCACACCTCTTTATAATCACAGTTTTTGTATCCCGAAGGTGTGACTATAGAGAGGTTTGACTGTATACTATAAATTTTATGATACTCCGATAGTGAAGCGTGGAGGAAATTAGTAAACTCAAATAACATTAAATAATATTACATCAGGAAATTTTTTAGTTAATAAATAACAATCAATCGATTATTATCGATTATAATCGACGATGGTGTTGATAATCGATTATAATAATCGATTATAATCAACATATACATATACAAAAAATTAATTAAAAGCAATTTAAAATGATTAAACTAAATCGATTATAATCAATATTTTTTATTTATTATCAATTATAATCGATAAAAATCTGCATCAATTTTAATCGGTGTTGATGAAAATCATTAGATTTTAATTGATTCTAATCAGCTTTTAAAATTTTCAGATATAAATAAGCATATATTAGTAGGGTTGGGTCGGTATCGGTCTTTAATAAAACCGGTCTCATGGTCCAGTTTTGGTCTCACAAGCTATTTTCATGTGATTATCAATTTTAGTTATCATCTAACGCTAAATAAAATTCATGCAATGTTTTTTTTTTTTTAAACTATATATTTAAAAACTTATAGTTTTTTTTTTTTTAACTATTAAAAAGCTTATTTTAATATATAGTTTATTATTAACTGGTTAAAGACTGAAAACCGAAGACCATGTAACTGCATCAGGAAATTTTGAAATAGGGTGGATATCGATTACTAGCTACAGGGGTGATTACTATTGATTAGAAAAATTGATAATAATCGATATTGATTACTAATCGATTAAAAAATAATTGATTTTAATTCATTTTGATGCTAATCAATTTTCAAACAAGCGATACTAATCAATATTAATCAATTTTAATCAGCAAAATCGATTCTAATCTGTTTCGCTAGCAATCAGCACAATCAGCAGGGCTGCTGCTTTATCGATTGACATTTCTATCTGTCAATCGATTGTCAACCAATTTAAAAATTTCCTGATGTGATCAAAAAGACCGGTCCTTAACCAGTCTTCTCGGGACCGATCCATCCCTACAATTCAGCCCATTTCTATTTTTAGGACTCTGCTCATAGGTAGTTATGAGTCAGACTCAATGTGTCTATGCTGAGTCAAAGGACCGACTTTTTCACAACTCTATAATTTATTATATATGAAGAGTATGAATAAATTTATTAATGTTGTAATTTACAGATATTATCATTAGGGCTGTTAATCGGTCCAAATCGGTCCTGAGATAATTTAATAAATCACTAGTCCCAGAGAAGTATAATCGCTTATCGCCAATAAGTAACCTACCTTGAAAACTCCCTGGGAAGAAACTTTATTAATAACTTTTTTTTAAAAAATCATCTTAAAAACTGTCATTTTGCTTGGAACCGATGCTAATCAAATCGGTCCTAGGACTGATTTGATTAGCATCGGTTCCAAGCAAATTGACAGTTTTTAAGATGATTTTTTAAAAAAAAGTTATTAATAAAGTTTCTTCCCAGGAAGTTTTCAAGGTAGGTTACTTATTGGCGATAAGCGATTATACTTCTCTGGGACTAGTAATTTATTAAATTATCTCAGGACCGATTGGGACCGATTAACAGCCCTAAAATTATCATGGATTAGGACGTGCATGCCGTAGCAATCTAAAAAGAATGTCGCGCCCCTGAAATTGAATCCAAAATTGATAACCTTGATTATCAACCCGGATCCCATAACGGTAGGGTTGTTAGTGGAGTAGCTTACTCCGGAGCACTATGGAGCAACCCGGAACGAGTAAGTGGTTGAAGATTGGGTCAACTCAAACAACCTTACAAGTTCCAACGTCCGAGTCACAGGGATTCAAACACGTATTTTAGAAAAATGTTTCTGGTCCCGTTGACGTCCCGATCGATTTCCAGGTCGCAACCTTTACATTTGAATATCCTCAAGCCGTCTAATTTGTCGTTTAATACATCACATCGTTCACATGTCATTGATGTATACTTCTTAATACAAAAATTTTTATAATAAATCTCATTAAGAAAATATTTTCTGCAATAGAAATGGCTCAAGCTACCCTGGAAATGTTTTGTAAGATTCGCCAAAATTATTAACCAATAAAATCACCAAATTTCTGGATAAATCCAAACACAATAAACCCACCAAATTTATTCTTAAATCATCAATCCATATAGCGAACTCAATATAATGTATCAGCTGGCGACAAATCAGAGCGCAGTTCTATTACTGCGATTTTATTGATAACTATAAAAAGTCTGGCTTGATTAGGTCTATAACGGAATTTAATATTCTAATTAATGTTTTTTTATTACGCGTATGTACATAAAAATAATTTAAGGGGTAATTAACAATATCGTTATTGTTAATTACTCCTTAAATTATTGTCGCGGCTGATGCTTAAGTTTGGACCTATTTTGATATGAAAATTTAAAATTTTTTGGTGTTTTTTTCCGCTTTTTTTTTAGGGTTGGGATTTTGGACGAGAATTTATAATTAAAATGTATATTTCAGCATCAGTCGCGACAATTATTTTTATATATCCATGTAAATCCAATTCCACAATCTGCCGATATGGTCAAGCCTATTCCGTTATATAGATAAAAAGAATATGCTGTATAACGGAACTTTTAGGCCAGCCCAGATTTCCGTTATATCGATAGTTGACTGTATATGAATTATTATATATGAAACTATTAATAACTATATATATACTTATTAATTTTTTCATTATTAACTAAAAACTTGAAGGTCCCATCACTAAATCCATCGACAATATTTAGAAGAGTCAGTTAAAGATATTCTTACCAATGTGATCCTTAGGACCCAATAATTTGTCTTTCGTGAGCCTGGGTACAATAAATCTTTGAGTCCTAGTTCTAATTTGTGCACAATAACAATGACACGCAGCAGATTTGCTACCTAAATTGAACAAGTCATGTGCTAGTATATAAATGGCTTGAACCACAATGTGTAATCGTTATAAACAATTTAGGAGTTTTGTTCACGCTAGTCAGTAGCCATGGAAACTCAAGAAATATCACATAAGAATAATGACGACAATAAAGTTGAAGAAGAAATACCACATAATGATAATAATGACGATAAAGTTGAAGAAGTAAATGATACTAACGAGGATGCTAAAATAGTTGATGAAAATAGCAATAAAAGCATAACTGAGGATACTGGAGGAGAAGCTGTTGAGGACCAAACTAATGCGGTAGAAGGAACAGGATCCGTTACTGTTGTGCCACCCGCAAAGAAAAAAAAAAAGAAAAAAAAGAAGAAACTTTTAAATGAATCAGATGATGACGAAGTTTATGATCCGTATGTTAAAGAATTCATTTTCTAATAAATAAATACTTTAAGTAATTTTAGACAATTATCGTATAACTTTTAGTTCGACGCCAGTTAAATATCGTGTTGAACGTGCCGTACAAAAATACAAAGCCACCAGAATGTTTGATGGTACATCTAACCAGATTTTAAGTTCTTACTTTCATTTTGGTGGCATTGCTGAAGATACAACACTATGCGCTTCGGAAGATGATCCAATGATACCTGATGACATGGAGGTAGATTTTACATATAACGTCAAAGTTTATCTGTCAAGTTACATTATGAATGAAACTGGATACGTGAAAGAAGACGCATTTCGAGAAGCACCCATAGTTATCGAATCATTCTTGAATTATTTGGTCAGAAGACAAGTATGCCCCGAGTACTTGGAGGATATACAACAAGCAATAAAAGTTGCTCAATTAGCTAAGGATGAGCTTTTGAATTGTAAATTGTTGACACAGGATGCTCCTGGAAAGTTCAATAAATCATGTTCATTACTA